TCCCCCCCCCCCCCCAAAAAAAACTCAAAAAAAAAAAAAATAAATAAAATTAAAAATAAAATAAAATAAAATCTGCCAGTGTTTAATGCACACTTCATCACCAAAATCTACTAAAAATTTGACTTATAGCGAAACCAAACTGGGATTTATTGTTTATTGGTATTTAGTTATCTAAGATCTTCATCAACATGTTGAGCATATGTTGTTTATGTTTCCTTTCTTTTGATCAATTGCTGATGCTAGTTGATCAAATTTCACTCTTCTTTGTTACAGATGCTATCACGCCATATTTCTTCTCACACATACTTTTGCAGATTGCTGTGAAAAGGTTAAAGTCCTGGAGTGACAAAGCAGAGATGGAATTTTCTGTTGAAGTCGAGATTCTTGCTCGAGTACGGCACAAGAATTTGCTTACTTTACGTGGTTACTGTGCTGAAGGGCAAGAACGTCTTATTGTCTATGATTACATGATTAATCTGAGCTTACTGTCTCATCTTCATGGGCCACATTCTGCTGAATGCCATCTTGACTGGAACCGGCGGATGAACATTGCTGTTGGGGCTGCCGAGGGCATTGCGTAAGTACCGAGAGCATGTTTGGCTAAGCTCTAAAAGTTTACTTATAAGTAAATAAGCAAGTTTCAAAATGAATAATTTTTATATTGATAATATTGAAAATAAGTAACTTATCCAAACATTTTTGGAAACATGTGATTTAAAAGTAAATTATACTTTTTTATGCTTAGCCAAACATACTCGAATCTAACTACATTTTCTTTCATACTCCTCCGTCCATTGAATTAATAACTCTTCTATTCCAGCTATTTACATAACTACGCAACACCCCACATTATACACCGAGATATTAAAGCTAGCAACGTATTGCTAGATGGAGATTTTCAAGCTCAAGTTGCTGATTTTGGATTTGCAAAGTTCATACCCGAAGGTGCAACACATGTAACCACCAGAGTTAAGGGTACTCTTGGCTATCTTGCCCCGGAATATGCAATGTTAGGAAAGGCATCAGAAAGCTGCGATGTTTACAGCTTTGGCATTCTTTTGCTTGAGCTTGCTAGTGGAAAGAAACCCCTAGAGAAGCTCAGTTTGAGAATAAAACGATCAATCACGGATTGGGCCCTACCTCTGGCACGCGAGGGAAAATTCAACGAACTTGTGGATTTGAGGCTCACTGGGAAGTATGTGGAAGAAGAGTTGAAAAGGGTTGTCCTTGTAGGACTCGTATGTAGTCATAATCAACCCGAGAAGCGACCAACAATGCTTGAAGTGATTGAACTTCTAAAAGGAGACAGAGAGAAGTTTGCAGCTCTGGAAATGCACGAAATGTTCAAAAGCAGTCCGGAAATGTTCAAAAGCAGTCCGGTTTTAGAGGAAAACTCAGATACTATCTCAGACGAAAAGGAACCGAAACAAGAAATTGAAAATGTTGAAGTTCTAACCACTGGACATTAATACGGTGGGCTAGAAAAATGATTGTGTTTCCTTCATGGTTTTATTTTGAAAATGAACTTACGTTATTGAATGTCAGGGGATGTGGATTCTTACTAAGGTGTAAAAATTATTTGAATTTTGGGTGTGTTTTCTTGGATGTTAATGTAAATTCAGTTTGTTCTTTCTCATGACGTCTATTCTAAGATTTTTTGATTTTTTTGAGTTGGACCGCTCCATATCTTTTGAAGTAGGTATTGCAAAGAGTTGTATAATGGAACTTTTTTTAGTCGAGATGGATTGTGAAACTTTGATAATCTTTTTGTTTTGACGATTTTTATAGTTAAATGAGAACATTGATTTTGGGCTTCAAAGAAAAGGAAAAAAAGCAAAAAAAATAAAATCACCTTAGCAAGTAATATTTATATTTTTATCTTATAGCGGGGAGAAAAAATGATTTATTATTATAATAGTATCTAAAACGTGATCTGGACTGTATAATAACCACAATTTTTGGCTTCCCTCATTACCCCTCGCCACACCTAACTTCCTTCCAGTTTCACCGCCCAACCCCCACGCCACCACAATCCCTCTCGTATTAGACGTTGCTAGCACAATGAGCAAAATCAAACATTTCTCCGATTTCTCTTAGAACACTTAACAAACACGTACGGTTCAAAATCAAAACCATTTACTGTAAGAATTCCACAACACTTTACCAAACACAGACACTTCCAAAATGAATACAGCCACCGCCACTGCAACCACCACGTCACTCTTCTTCATTTCCAAAACCCGGAGCAATTCAGTTCCTCCGTTTTCATCTTCATCTTCCTGTTTCTTCGCTGGCGGGTCCCGTTTCAAGAAGTTTCCACCAGATTCTTTGTCTTCTGCTTCTCAATTCAATAAGAAAATATCCGCAAGGAGGTTTGGGAGCGTGGTCGTGGCCGCAGCTGATTATTACTCCACTCTCGGCGTTCCAAAGTCTGCCGATAGTAAGGAAATTAAGTCTGCTTATAGAAGGTTGGCTCGACAGGTACTAAACCCCGCTTGGCATTTTGGGTTTCTTTTCTACTTTTCTAATTTCTTTGAGCTTTGGCACTTTACTCTTTCTGCGTTTAAGTGATTGTTTCATCTGAAAATATTTGATGGGTCTTAAAAGGTTATTATTCTTTTCAGCTGATTGAAGTATGATGCTCTAAACTGAAATACTGTGATTTGTGCAGATGATTGAAAGTATTGGAATTCTTGTTTATTTTCGAATGCTACTAGTACAAATTTTGTTTTGTGTATTATAACATCGACACTGTAATTTTGTATTATTTTGCAGACGTGGAAGAGGTAATGCTTATATTGTTAGAGTCCCACAATCAGACTTTGGCATCATATAATTTGTCAGCCATTGTCTGCAAATGATTTTTTAAGAAGACATTAACTGGGATCTTGAAAACTGACTAACGACCAATGGTGTTAAGTGCGATTTTTTATGGACTGTTTATTGGTTGGTTAATGGTAGTTGATGACTTTTCAAAGCACTTTTTTTTTTTTTTTTTTTTTTTTAAGCTTGTTATTACATAGTTGAAAGTATGAGATCCATTCGGGTGGTAGCGTAGATGAAGATACATAGGTAGAGTTCTTGAAAAGAGCATAATATTGCATTATAGTTGTTATGAGATTTTATGCATCAATTTAGGGGTCGTTATTTATATAATAGACAAATATATGGTAGGTGCATAAATCCAAGATTTTTCCTAATGAGAAATATCCTCCGTACGTGTGTGTGTGTGTGTGTATATATAACCTGTTTAGAATCAAGGTATGGAATAAGTTATTCTCCCCAAAACAACATGGTTTCAGAGCCATACCTTTTTTATTGACGGAATTCTCGACTTTGTGCTGTGCGGGTCTTTGCAATTCTGTGCGGTAGTGTCGAATTTTTGTTGGACCACTTTGGCGGTGACGCCAATTCCATGTGGTAGTGTCGAATTCTTGTTGGACCACTTAGGTGGTGATGTCGGAGGGAATGTGACCGTCTGTGATAGTGCAGTTATCGACTGTATGTGAGTTGTCGATCTCGGGTCGAAGCCTACAAATTTAGGCAGCTGTCTGCTCCCTTGGGTATTGTCGAATCTGTGCTTGGTGCCGGCATTTTGCATCGTCGATGAGTTTGGCGTATAGGTGGCGACTGATCTGTTGAGGTGAACTCACCGTGATTTTTTTTTGGGGTCTCTGGTAAGTGACCATGATGTTTGGTGTCTTGGGTCTTTGGTAAGTGATAAGTGTTTGGGCTGTGATTGGTTTGGGCCGTGATTGATTTGGGCATTTTGGGTGAGTAAGGTCTTTGGCAGTGAATCTCCATTGGTTTGGGCTATTCCTTTGGGCTCTAAGTGAGTTAGTTTTATCTTTCATTTTGGTTGGATTGGTTATTTTGTTTGGGCTGTATTGTGATTGAGCTTGCAATATTGTTGGACCTATATTATTATTTTGTTTTGGAGTTTTATTTTGAACTACTTCCTTTTGTACTCTTTTCGGTTGTCTGTTAAGCATGGCTGAACGTGATAAGAAAATGGTGAATCAAATAAGACCTCGTGGTTGTTATTACCGTGGAGAGTGAAGACCTGTGAAAAGGAATTGTTGGAAATTGAATGGCAAATTAGCGAAGTACACGAGTCAAACTCCTGTGAAAAAAATTTCCAATGTTGCCACTCAGGATGGGCTGTTACCTACACTTCCTACACTTCCATCTCAGCATCAAATTACTATTCTAGTCGATGAATATGCTCGCCTTACACAAATTTTTGCTCCTCAACAGCTTGTTCCACCTTCTGCTTCGACTTCCACTTTAGCCAACACAAGTAATTCTGTAGCATGTTCGTCTACCTCTTCCTACAATTGGATCATTGACTCTTGTGCCACAGATCACATGACTGGGAATATAGGTATACTTTCATCATTTCAGTCTTCTTCTAAATTACCATGTGTCACTTTAGTTAATGGCTCTACAACTTCTGTAGTCGGATGCGGCACTGCACATCTAACAAACTCTCTACCATTGTCTTCTGTCTTATGTTTATCTCAGTTTCCTTTCAATCTTTTATCTGTGAGTCAAATTAATAAATCCCTTAATTGGTGTTATTTTCTTTCCTACCCACTGCGTTTTTCAGGATCTTAAGACGAAGCAGAGTATTGGTAGAGGGCAGCTCAATGACTTGTATGTGCTAGACTCTTCTACACTAGTGCCAAGGTCGATTGCATGCACTAGTACTTCTTCTCTTCTGCAGCTCCATTGTCGTTTCGGTCATCGTTCTCTTCGGGTTTTGAAGAAATTATGCCCTAGTTTTAGTCAGGTGTCTCAATTAAATTGTGAGTCGTGTCAGTTAGCAAAATGCCATCGGGTGCCATATTTCCATAGAATAAATAAACGAGTTGCGTCCCCTTCTTATTTAATACATTATTATATTTGGGGTCCTTGTCCAATTTTATCTAAGACAGATTTTCGTTATTTTGTTACCTTTTTGGATGATTATTTTCGAGTTACTTGGTTATATCTTATAAAAAATCGTTTTGAACTATTCTCAATTTTTTGTGCCTTCTGTGTTGAGATTAAAACTCAATTTGATAAATCTATCCATATTTTTTACGGTGATAATGCTAAGGAATCTTTCTCCTCCACATTTACTTCCTTTCTTTCCCAAAATGGCATTCTTCATTAATCTTCATATATCGTTACTCCGCAACAAAATGGTGTAGCGGAAAGAAAGAATCGTCATTTATTGGAAGTTGCACGACCTCTTCTTTTTCATATGAAAGTCTCAAAATAATTTTGGGTAGATGCAGTCTCTACTGCATGTTATTTAATCGATCGCATGCCTTCCTCTGTCTTAGATGGTAAGATCCCTTATTCCATTCTGCTTCCCTCTTATACTTTATTCTCTCTTGTTCCTAGAATATTTGGATGTACTTGCTTTGTCCAAGATATGAGACCTCATGTCTCCAAGCTTGATCCTAGATCCCTTAAGTGTATATTTTTGGGCTATTCTTGACATCAAAAAAGTTATCGATTTTTTTCTTCTTTAGGACGATACTTAGTGTTTGCTGATGTAACATTTTTCGAGTCCACACGTTTCTCTAGTACTATTGTGTCTTTTGCTTCATCTTCTATTGAGTCTGAGGATGATTTCCTTACTTACACTATAACTCCACTTGTGGTACCAGTATCTTCTCGTCCTCCTATTCGAAGTGTTTACACTTGTCATGTGCAGCAATCTCCGGTGACACCTGCTACTAACCATAGCCTCTACCTGCTGCTTCGCCTCAAGATTTGTCGTCCCCTCCTGATTATACTCTTGATCTTCCCATTGCTCTCCGAAAATGTATACGATCATGTACTTATCCTATATTTTCTTTTGTTTTGTTGCTCGATTGAAAGCTCGTTTGGTTGCTAAGGGGTATGCTCAAACTTATGGTGTGAACTACTCTGAGACTTTCTCTCCTGTTGTTAAGCTAGCCTCTGTCAGGCTATTTATTTCTCTTGCTGCTACCTATCATTGGCCGCTTCACCAATTGGATGTTAAAAATACATTCATCCATGGTGATTTGCTCGAAAAAGTTTACATGGAGCAACCACCCGAGATTGTTGCTCAGGGGGAGTCAGGGAAGGTATGAAAACTGCAAAAGTCATTGTATGGTCTGAAACAAGCACGCTGTGCTTAGTTTGGAAGATTTAGTGAGGTTGTGACAGAATTTGGCTTGCTAAGAAGTGTATATGATCACTTAGTATTCTTTAAACAGTTGGATGTATTTTGTTAGTGGTATATGTGGATGATATTGTGATTACTGGTAGTGATAGCAGTGACATAAGTATGTTGAAGGCTTTCTTAGGCACAAGATTTCAGACAAAGGAGTTAGGTCCTTTGAAATATTTTTTGAGGATAGAGATTTTTTGAAGTGGTAAAGGAACCTTTCTATCTCAAAGGAAATATGTTCTAGACCTACTAGATGAGACAGGATTAGCTGAAGCAAAACCTAGTGATGCCCCTATGATACCAAATGTGAAACTCAGAGCAGAAGATGGAGATGTGTTTGTTGATGTTGAAAAGTACAGGAGGGTAGTGGGAAAGTTGAACTATCTCACAATTACTCGTTCAGATAATGCCTTTTCCGTAAATGCTATTAGTCAGTTTATGTCATCTCCTAGAACTTCACATTGGGATGCTGTAACTTATATATTAAAATATCTTAAAGGAGCTCCAGGACATGGGATTCTTTATAAAGACCATGGTCATTGTAGAGTTGAGGGTTTCTCAGATGCTGACTAGGCAGGTTCTCCTGTGGATAGGTGCTCTACCATAGGGTATTGTGTTTTTGTTGGGGGGTGATCTAGTTTCTTCGAAAAGTAAGAAACAAAATGTTGTAGATCGATCAAGTGCAGAATTTGAATATCAGGCTATAGCTCAGGTGACTTGTGAACTTATGTGGCTACATCACTTACTTGGAGAGATTGGCATTGATAAGTCCCACTCTATGAACTTTTGGTGTGACAATCAAGCAACCATTCATATTGTCACTAATTCAGTATTTCATGAGAAAACAAAGCATATAGAGGCAGACTATCATTTTGTTTGTGAAAAGCTACAACAAGGATTGATTTCAACTAAGCATGTCAGGACAGGAGATCAATTAAATGATGTGTTCACTAAGGCCTTAGCTGAGAATCGAGTAAATTATATTTGTAACAAGTTGGACATGATTGATATCTATGCTCCAGTTTGAGGGGGAGTGTTATGAGATTTTATGCATCAATTTAGGGGTCTTTACTTATATAATAGATGAATATATGGTAGGTGCATAAATCCAGGATTTTTCCTAATGAGAAATATCCTCCGTATGTATCTATATATATGTAACCCGTTTAGAATCAAGGTATGGAATAAGTTATTTTCCCCAAAACAGCAATAGTTTATCACACATGAAGGATTTGGAAATCATCACCTCTCTTAGAGAAAAAACTAATTCATGCCACAGTTTTCTCATTTGCGGGGTTGAGAAGAATTCACTAGGGGGAAGGATCAAAGGATTAGGGGCCATCACTTTTAATTCCCATCTGCAAAGGGGAAAACTGAGGATTTTTTCTTTTCTCTTTATTTTTACTTTCATTTTTATTTTTTTAAATTTTTATTATTATTTTTTTAACGAAGAAAGCAGGTCCAATTATAGGAAGAGGATAACATCACCCGTAAAGGAAAAGAGGTTGACATGAACGGGTGATGAAATGTTTCTGGTGTACAGTGACAAAAAGAGTTTTAGGTTGATGTATTGGCTTTAAAGTGTCATTAGATGTAGGTGCTTCAAAATGGAGGTATAATTGAAACTTGTTCTTGTAATTCTGGTACATGGATTCCCGAGATACTTGCACTAGTCACATCATTGGTTCAAGGGTTGTCTGTAGGAAGAAGGGAGTTACAAGTTTTTCGTCATTTCAACAACTTGAAAGATCATATTTCTGTTGAAACCAGGAAACTTCCTGCAATTTGTAGGAGAGCCTTTATCTTCTCCCTATGTTCCTGAGTCATTGGACTTGCCCAAATCTAGAGGTGTTAAATGGGGCGAGCCAAGCTGCTCAACAAAAGTCCGGCTTGGCTCAGCTTGGCCCCTTCAGCTTGCCCTTCACGGGCTAATCATATTTTTTCTTTTATTTTATTTTTAACAAAAGTTGCATATTTCTCTATATTTGGCAAGCAGGCTCGCACATGAGCCAACGAGCCCGCGAGCGAGGTAGCTCGCTCGGCTTGCGAGCCAGCTTGCATGAGCTGCTCGCCCCACTGTTACACTCATATCCAAATCACCAGCTTGCAAGGGATTGAACTTTTTATTATCTATGTTTTGTGGACCTCTTTCGAAGGATTGATGAGGAACCCTTGCTTCAACTTTGCATTCAGGGTTTGGACACTGTATTGAAGATTTTGATTTAGAAATTGTAGTAATCAATTGCATCACATTTCTGTTTCTTCTTACCTGTTATGATGATGTCATGGATTTGAAACTAATTTTACTGTATTCAGCTAACCAATTTTCTTTATATATAGTACTACTAATTATGATCCACTGCTTTTTCCTTATGAGTTTTGACATCTTCTTTTTCATCTTGATCTTTAGTACCATCCTGATGTCAACAAGGAACCTGGCGCAACTGAAAAATTTAAAGAGATTAGTGCTGCTTACGAGGTAAGGATGGAAACCAACAGTTCTAGCATCTGATCCTTTTGATTATTCGTTTTTTAATACAAATTTATCATGAAAATATTATTCTGCATATGGGACTAGAAGTCATTGAACAATTTCATAACTTCAGTGATAGGAATGAATTTGACGGCTATATTTTTTCTCCTTTTTATCTTTTTGACCTGCTATAACGGCCAACCTTTTTTTATTTAGAATTCATGAATTTATGTTATTAGACCATATACATGGGACGGCTGCAGTGTTATATGGAAAGGAAACTGTTATCTAGAAAAATTGTGTAAATTTGTTGAATTACAATCACAATATTCCCAGTAAAAGTATTCAATTCGCATGTAAGTTCTAAAATTTTCTGTACTTGTTTCATCTTGGCATGCTCTGGAGTGGTACTAAGTTCAGCAAGTCTAAAGTTCAAATGCATGAAATCTATCCCATTTGCAACTCCACTTCACTGTTGAAGTCAAATTCTAATTCAATCCTGAAAATGACAACATACTTGCAAAGCTTCGAATTCAGAAAGCTTTTCCTAGCTCTTTCCATTCAAAAGACATTCCAAGTTATCTTCCTTGACAAATTACTACCATAATTTACTGCTCCTGTTAGCTAGAAAATGGTTAGATGAAGGACTTACCTCTGATGGAAGTGGGTTCAATTTTTGTTGGGTTAAGGTGTTATTCAGAGCAGCTGTGTTGTTTCATAGTGACCATTGTCATTTCTGCAACAATTATTTCTGTGCAACTTGAAATTTTACATTTAGTATATTTCCATTGATTATATTTTAGCAGTCGAGGGTGATGTATATACAATCTTTGTTGCTCCACGTCTTTAATTCTTGATACACTCATTTTGGACTGTTGACACTTGGACAACAGCACGGGACACTTGTCCAACATTTTGCAATGATTACAAATTTAGGAAGTATATCAACGATGTCTAATATGTTTTATAGCTGTTTCATAGTGATATGTGCATATCGTTTTGATCATATTAAACTTCATTTTACAGTAGATATTTTAGCAGTCGAGGGTGATGTATATACAATCTTTGTTGCTCCACGTCTTTAATTCTTGATACACTCATTTTGGACTGTTGAAACTTGGACAACAGCACGTGATTACAAATTTAGGAAGTATATCAACGATGTCTAATATGTTTTATAGCTGTTTCATAGTGATATGTGCATATCGTTTTGATCATATTAAACTTCATTTTACAGTAGAAAAAAAAAGAGAAAAGTTTGAAAGATACTACTATTTTGCCGAGTTCATGTATCCAAAATTCAGAAAAAAAAAAAAAAGAGAAAAGTTTGAAAGATACTACTATTTTGCCGAGTTCATGTATCCAAAATTCAGAGGCATGGACAAATACCCATTTCCAGTTCTCATGCCAGGGTTTAAGCACCTCAGGATCCAAGTTCTCCAATATAAATGACTGTACATTATTCGAATCATCCTTCCTATATGCATATTCTTTTGATATTTCTCTTTGGATTATTTTGGTTTCTGTGTTCATGATTATTTTCGGTAAGGATATCTTCTTGGGGCACTGGTGCATTTGTATTTTTCACCTTTGTATTCTCCTTCAGTCTGATTTGTGTTTTCTGGGTGCTCAATTTTGTGATTATTCATTGCATTGATCTCCTCGAGGCCTTTATTGCATGGGTTTCGTTCTTTATGATGCTATATAATCTAAGAATCTGAATCTAATGCACAGTTTTGGTTAATCTCTATTCCTCGTCAATAGATTCAGACTAAGATTCATGAAAATATTCCGTCAACTACTATAATGTTTAAAGATGAAAAAGCTGCAGTATCTTTGTTGAGTCCTTGTGAACTCTGGTGTTGTGCTTATTTATGTATTGAGTGAATCCTGAAGTGTATTATTGTCAGGTACTATCAGATGACAAAAAAAGGGCTTTATATGATCGATATGGTGAAGATGGAATGAAAAGTGCCGTGGGTGGACAAGCTGGTAGCTACACGGTATTCATTTCTGAACTTCCAGAGAGTGCAGAAAAGAATCACGGTCCACACAAATTACTGAAAAACCTGTGCTAGTTATGTATGCATGTAGTAGGCTTTGAAATTAATGAAGAAGATAACTTTTTGTCTGATCAGTAAACATACTTCATCTTTTCTCAACATGTGACTGGACGTCATTGGCAACATTGAAAAAAAAAACTATTAGCATTTTCTGCTATTTTAACTACCCATATATGTATTGCTTTTCTGTTACAGACAAATCCTTTTGATCTATTTGAGGCATTTTTTGGCCCTAGTATGGGTGGATTCCCTGGAATGGATGGAAGTGGATTTGGAATGCCTCGCCGTAGTACAGTTACCAAAGGTGAAGATTTGCGGTGAGTCCGACTGACTGAATTGTTATAAATGACAAAATGAGAGTTCTATATAATCTATATGGTGAAGATGGAATGAAAAGTGCTACGGATGGACAGGCCAATAGTTACACACTATTCATTTTCTGAACTTTCCAGATAGTGCAGAAAATAATCACGATCCCAATAAATTACTGAAATTGAACACATAGCTCCTTATGAAATGATTACAATGGTCAGACTCTCCAGTCTAGTTCAAAAGTTTTAGTCATGTGTTTGAACAGGAGTGCCGGATTGTTGCGAAGATGGCCTATATAGAACTTTTAAATATACTAGCAACTTTGAAGATGTTTTCACAAACATGTTTTGTTACTTTTATGCGTAATGATGAATTTTTTTTTTTCAGCTCTAGTGAGACCTATCAGAGAGGACTAACTTTTGAAAACATATTTCAGCTATGACATGACACTGGAATTTTCGGCTGCTATATTTGGAACAGAAAAAGAATTTGAGCTATCCCATCTCGAAACGTGCGAAGTTTGTGATGGTACTGGAGCAAAAGTAGGCTCCAAAATGAGGATATGCTCAACGTGTGGTGGTAGAGGTCAAGTTATGAGAACTGAGCAAACACCTTTCGGCATGTTTTCACAGGTATCCTTCCAAGTGCTCCATTGACTACTTGCTTCTGTGATCATGATTTTGCATGACACCAGTAGAAGTATTGGACAGCATGCTTTTACTTCATTTTACAAAGATGAACCATTGACGATCCAATGGAAAACAAGTGAAAAAAGGGATAACAGATTTCAATAACAGGTGAACAATGGTGTTACACTGGGTTCTCAAAATTTATATCCCGTGCCTCCTTTTAAGTGTGGTTCAATGGGCATGCATGTAAAAAAGCTTGTTTAATACTCTAGTATCACTCAACTGGATGATTGAAGATAATGCAATGACCAGTGACATGCCTTTTATTTAATCTAAAGTTTTGTTTTCGACTTCTGTCGTTGCTAGTTATGATCTGCAGTAACTATTCACTTATAAACTGTACTTATCGGATGCTTTAGATCTGTCAGATTAGCTTATTTTGCCTTCTATTCATTCTGTTGTTCCAAGGATCATGAAATTCTATATAGTATACAAGGAATTTAAGAATAAGAAAATGTAATTAGGTGAGTATTTTTGTGTTATAGACGTTTCAGGCCTATTATAGTTGCTTGAAGAAAAGCAAAAATTGCTGCTCTCTTAAGGAAGGATAGAGGAGTCTACAAATTCTTGAAGTTATCATTCATCTTCCTTTCAACATAGGCTTAATTCCCTCGTATTCATCATTGGTCATTCGTGTCTATGACTTCACTTGATGTACTATTGCATATTTGGAATGAATCTATTAGGTTTCTGTATGTCCAAATTGTGGCGGGAATGGTGAAATGATATCTGAATTCTGCCGCAAATGCTCCGGTGCGGGCAGGATACGGGTTAAAAAGGATATCAAAGTCAAAATTCCTCCTGGAGTGAGCAAGGGCAGTATTCTCAGAGTTGCTGGAGAGGGCGACGCAGGACCAAAGGGGTATGTATTATATTGACTTCACTGTTTTATGCTTCTGATATGGTCCTGAGATCTAGCTACCTGATTGAGATTTGGATGTCATATTCTAGTCTCTGCATTCTCATCCTTAATTGATTACACATTATCCACTACATTGGAATCTGTGCTTCATTCATTGATGATGTTATCCTTTTGTACATGCATAATTATGGTTCTAAATATTGTAAATAATGTTTAATGTCTAATGTATGTTAACTTAATAATTTTCTCCATAATCACATCATTTGTTTGTGGTCACATTTAACATAAAGAAAACCCCTTGGGAAGGAATGTCTTCATCAATTGGGACCCCTTAAAGCAACATCAAGTTTCATAGGCAATTAGGCATTACTGTACTTTCCATGTTACAAGCTTTTGATTAAGATGTCCAAGTAGCAACTTTCGAACCAGTGGTCATAGAAGATATCTGAAGCATGCATAAACTGTACATTTTTTGTTTAGCATAATCCTTTTCCTTTATTGTACAATGCTTGTGACCTGATTGCAAACAATAATCATGTTTTTAATATTTTTTTGTAATTTCTTACCAAGATGTGTGATGGCTGTGACAAGCTCCATTTTATTATTCTCAAATATTTTGAGGAAGAAATTAGTTGCTAAAACATTGCGTAAAAGTTAAAAACACGACCAGTATTATGATCATGTGAAATTTGTTTTATATCTACTATTTATACTTTTTTGATACACAAGGGACTAGTAATATCTGAAAGATGCTAACTCCTATATGCATGGTTTTTCTGTTACTGGTTCCCTCTCTCCTTCAATAGGGGGCCACCTGGAGATCTTTATGTCTATCTTGATATTGAAGAGATTCCAGAAATTCAAAGAGAAGGCATAAATCTCTCTTCAACAGTTTCAATCAGTTATCTGGATGCCATATTGGGGACTATTGTCAAGGTGCATTTTCTCTTGATTATGATCTAGAGTTGAATATGTCTTCTTTGAGGAGAAAAATTTATAGAGCAATTTCTCTGAGTATTGCTAATCAGTTGTCTACATTATTTGGAAATGCCAGTCTTGATTATGATCTAGAGTTGAATACGTGTCTTCTTTGAGGAGAAACATTTATAGATCAATTTCACTGAGTATTGCTAATCAGTTGTCTACATTATTTGGAAATGCCAGTCCTATTTATACTTAAAATCGCCAACAAAAATGAAAGTTGCTACAGTAGCAAAAGGATAATGTTATTAACTTAAAACTTACAAATATGGTAAGAAAATAAATAAAAATACAAGATAATATTATCGGAAGCTATCTTTTATATTTACGCCAAAAATGTACTTATTTTGGCTGTCTCCAATTAAATCTCCATCAGGAACCTGTAGAATACATTTTATTCGTTTTTCTTTGAGTTTCTTTAAAATTTAAGTATCACAAAATAATATAATGGTTTATGTTGTCTTCTAGCTATACCATCCAACCTTCTCATTAAAGTTGAGAAACTTAAAGGCACTAAAATTGATAATTAGAGGGATTTATTTGCTGGGAGCTATTATTTTAACTTGTAAAAGGTGAATGACTTGGAGCAAAAGTATTACTTTTTTTGCAGTAGTGCTCCATAAAATCTCGAAGTGTAAACCATGGGTAAAATTTGCGAACTCTCTCTATAGCACCATATAAAATAAAATAAGCGAGTGGAGTGACCACATTTGTTTGAATTGAAGAGATGGGATGGCGGTTGAAGTTTGATTTTGCTTTGAATGTGTGGAGTCACCATGCTGTTGAATTAGAATGTGTAATTGAGTTCGTAAAAAATTTTCATAAATAATTTGGTTAGAATAAAGGATTATCACGGCTAACTAAAGCAAAAATAGTTGCTAAATTTGTAAAGTTGCACTCTGGCTCAAGAAGCACGACTCTTGGGAAAATTTGGTTGGAATCATAGCAGATATTTGTTCTGTTTTTACCTGTGTTCTCCAAATGACAATCTGTTGTTCTTTGGAGTGTGCAATAGGTTAAGACGGTTGAAGGGACTACTGAACTGCAGATTCCTCCAGGTACTCAACCTGGAGACGTGCTTGTCTTGGCAAGAAAAGGTGCACCAAAATTGAACAGACCGTCAATACGTGGTGACCATTTGTTCACTATTAAAGTTAGCATACCAAAGCGTGTCAGGTAAGTTACAGCCTTTCTCGTTTAATCTACTGCATATTATGCATCTCTAATGTGGCTAAATTCCTTGGCAAATCAAACACTTGTTTCCATATTGTTCCAGTTTTTTCTGATATCTCACAATATTTTCCATCTAATATTGCCTTTTATGGTTACACGGTTATTATGTCTGTGTATATGAGGATTGAAAATGCTCTCTTGTGTTTAATTGTGCCCATGGGTGTCGATCTTCTTGTTTGTACGGTTGTACCTCAATCTTGAATAGTTGTCTTCGTCATTTCATTAATATTTTGGTGTGATGGTGATGGCAGTTTCTAGTGTTTACGAGATCTATGCCATGAGAAATGCTGCCAATTGTTCTTTTTGCTTCTAATAATTAAAAGATATGCTGCTCACATATTTTCCTTACATTTGGCATACTTTTCTCATTTAAATTTTCAGCACCAAGGAACGCGAACTGCTTGAAGAACTTGCTTCTCTTGTAAATACCCCAGTCAACCGTACAAAAACTCGTCCAAAGGTTCAACAACCTGGTATGCATTTCTTTTAATATATCCAAGGAAATTATAATTATAAAACAGATCTCGTTTTCTTAATGCATCTCATATGGATTCTTTATTCCTTCAGTCATCTTGTTTAATTTCCTCCAGAGATTTATTTATTATTATTATTATTATTATTATTATTTTTTTTTTTTTTCTATACATGTGAAATATCTCAATGTTCTCTAATGTTACTGTCTGATCTGATTTTTGCATTGCAGCTCAAACTACAGAAAGTGAAACAGGATCTATTACACAGAAACCTGATGAATCGGAAGTCCAAAATGATTTGTGGAAGCAACTGAAAGATTTTGCCGGGTAAATTTTCCCCATCATCATTTTCTTTTTGACAATTTCTAATCCACTCCGGTAATAAAATATACTAGATATATTCGTTTGATGAGGATAGTTTATAGTTTCTAATTTTATTGCACGGTTGAAGCTATCACTTAGTTAATATAAAGTATGCACGTCAAGAGGGTCAAGCTTAATTTTTATCTTCTCCCTAATAAATCTGTTCTGCATCTACATTCGTATTTCTTCAGAGCTGGTGCCAAAGCCGGATAAATGAGAAAGGTTGCAATAGGCTGTGTATAAAATTTGTCACATTTCATGACCCAAATGCCTGTTGACATGTCATTAGGACATCCGCTACTTGTCTGTTGCAGTTGATGTTGCTATGGATTGAATAAAGTGGCAAAAAAGGATGCATGAAGCTAATGCCAACTTTACAGGAAATAAAGCCCCTATTTTTTTTATTGCTGTTGAATATCTGCATGATATCCGCAGACATTTATTCCATTGGAAAATTTTGGCTTTTTTGATGATAATATTTATGCCAGTAAAACCGCAGCTGCATTTTTTTGCTCCTTTTAGTTGTTTTGCTTATACAGATGGTTATTTGTGCCCGGACAGATCGTAACTTTCGTGCCATTTTTGCTGCACGTATGCAAGTATTATTTTGCATTGACGGAAAACCTTGATCTTGCAGGTCTGTAGCAAATGGAGCTCTAAAATGGTTCAAAGACAATCTTTAATTCAATTGGCTGATAAAATGCATTCTCACTATTTCTCCACGCCATACACAGCCATTGATTTTGATGACTTACAATGGCCATTACTGGAATCTGTTAAGAGAATTTAAATTGAAATCGGTGGGAATTCTTTGATTTTTTTACATTGTTCTCTTTTGTAAATTGTAGCATTTCTTATTTGGAGTTACCTGCTCAAGTGTATTTTCTCAATGGTATTAGCTAGAAAATGCTGTAGTGTACTGAATTAGACAGTATATCAAATAAGATTTTACGTTTATTTTTTTTCTTAATATTGTTGGGTGCTATTTAATCTCAACTATGTATTGTTGCTCAATTGTGTATGACTTCTCTTGACTAGAGCAAGCTTGCATTAATTTCAACGTCGTCTTAAAATAAGGATCTCAAATGTATGGGTGTGTTTCCTTTTTAGTAGGGGTTATTGTAATCGAAATTTTGTATAGTTTCAATTATTAGTCTTGCAATTGAAGGGAATGGACGGGAAACAGATAAGAAATTCTCGGAGTCCGGAAGAAGGAAAGAAAATTTTCAAGTCCAAGTACCAGAAATTTCAAGAAGATTAAGGGGGCGTTCACTTTATGTTTCTGTTTTCTATTTGTTGTTTTGAATTCATTTTCTATTTTCTGTTTTGAGGCCTTATTTTAGGATTGTGAAAAATGTGTTCGGTTTATCATTCTGAAAAACTATTTCTCAAAACAAAGAACTAGAAAACGTATTTGGTTTACAAAAATTTTGAAAACGCCATTGTCTCTCTCTCCCCCCCCCCAAAATTTTGAAAACGCCATTGTCTCTCTCTCCCATACCGCCACTTCCTATCCCTCTCTCTCAGTACTGCCACCTCCAAAAGACCACTTCTCGGCCACCATGGCCACTGGATCGTAGCACCAATTTCAAGCCCACAATGTCATCTACAAATCTAACCCAATAGCTAGCCCCAACTCCGGTCAAACAGGCCGAAATTTCTACTCAAAAGAGGCCAGTCGATAGTGAAAAGAACAGATGAAAACTCCTATTCCGACGACGATTTATGCATGAATTGATGAAATTGAAGTGTTACCCATGGTTGTAGGGACATGATTAATGCTTGACTGATGCTAGAAACTGATTCAATATCTCCAAAAACACGAATCAAAAAAAAAAAAAAAAAAAAAAAAATCTCGTTCGCGACTACCGATTTTGATTGATTCACATCAGAACGAATTGGTGCATTATTGGTTGATGTTAAGACATGATATTGATCGCCTGGACGAGGGCTATCGGTTGTTGGTAGTGCGCGACAGTGGGAGTCGTCGGAGGTGGATATTTCGGCATAAAAGGGATCTGCAATCTTTGATTTTTGGGCTGGATTTTCTATTACTTTCAGTTGATTTGTGGCTGTTGGTTGGTTGGAAATTATAGAGTGGAATGAGGCGAGGCTAATGGTAGTTGTCTCCGGTGGTTTCGTCGTCGAAAAGTCTTGATTTGGCAGCCGGAATGGGGTGTAGTAGCAGAGAGTGGAGAGAGAACGACGATTTCTTTTGTTTGAACAGTGATTTTTGAAAATGCCGCGTTTTCATTGTTTTCCATATTTTGGCACTTTTGAACAGAAAACACTCAAAACGAAAAAAAAGTTGTTTTGGTTTTTCTTTGTTAAATTTTCTCCCGTTTTCAAAAATGCATTTTCGAAAATAGCTTACCAAACGAGTTTTCTGTTTTTTAAAAAATGAAAAATGGAAAATGGCCCAAAAATGCCAAAGAGAACGCAGCCTCAAGCTTTCAATTTAAATTTAATTCAAGTCTTGAAAATCAAACTCCTCTTCAAATGAAAGTCAAGTCCACAAATTCTAAAGAATTATAAGTCCTTGAAGTTTAGGAAGCAAATCTCGTGGTCTCTCACTTTTTCAACACTCGGATTATTAATTAGAGGATTGTCCAGTAACAAAAATGATCAATTTATCTTATACTTAAATAAAAATTAATGTATAACAAATTTTGTATTTCGTCCAAAAAATTTGTTGCGGAGTTATCTCTAATTAAGTTGTCACACGATATACTAAATTATGACTTAAGAATAATGTTATTTATTATAGTAATGATGAAATATCGATGATATAACAACTTCTATAGTAAATATTAAAATGTCCTATCTCAATATTCCACTCAAGTCACCAGATGATTGATTATTGTAACGCTGTTGTGAGATGGGCCTAGCCCGTCTTCCAGACCCAAACCTGAAGCCCACGTCTCAAACCAGGCTCCTTTGTTCTTGCACGCACATTTCATTTGCTTACCCTTTTCACCACCTCCGGTGAATCTGAAACCTTTCTTCTCCACAAAAATTCAACCCCTCAAACTGAACCCTAATTTCTTGATCTTTCACCAAACCATTCAATTAGAAGATATCACAAACATTAATCAAGATGGTGCTCGCGCAATTAGGAGGGAGTATATCGCGGGCTCTTCAGCAGATGAGCAATGCGACGATCATTGATGAAAAGGTTCTGAACGACTGTCTCAATGAGATCACGCGAGCTCTCCTTCAGTCCGATGTACAATTCAAACTTGTCCGCGATATGCAGACCAATATCAAGAAAATCGTCAATCTCGATGACCTAGCGGCGGGCCACAATAAGCGAAAAATCATCCAACAGGTAAAATAATTTTTGAAAAATAGAGGAATGACTATTGATTGAGGGAATTATTATTATTATTTTTTTAAAATTTTTAGTGAAGGTGAATTTTGAAATTTGAGAAAAAAAATAAAAAAAATAGGCTAAGGTGTATTCAACACAAATTGCTTTGGCTTTTAAAAAATTGTTTCCGAGAACATTCTAGTTGTGATTTTTGAGTGGCGCCTGGATTAAAAAATGAAGTCTGAAAATGTCTCTTCTGTAGGCTATTTTTAACGAGCTTTGCAAAATATTGGACCCCGGAAAGCCTTCATTCACTCCCAAAAAAGGGAAAACTAGTGTTGTTATGTTTGTCGGTTTGCAAGGTATGTATGTATTCCTGAATGACTATATTGGTCACTTTGAATTCATGTCATGCCATAATTTGCCGGTTCTATTTTATCTAATCTGAGCTGGTAAGTCTGTTATCTTTTTAAATAGTTTTGCATGGCATATGGTTGATTGATCTGGGACATAATTTAAATGCTTATCTTGGTGAATTCTTACCCTGGGAGCTTTTTGTTATCTTTGAGAAAAAATGATGTACTTATTACAGTACTTGATTACAGGATCTGGGAAAACAACCACGTGTACAAAATATGCATACTACCATCAGAAGAAAGGCTGGAAACCAGCTCTGGTCTGTGCAGATACATTTAGAGCTGGTGCTTTTGACCAGTTGAAGCAAAATGCCACTAAAGCTAAAATTCCGTTTTATGGAAGGTCTACTTCTGTTCAAATCTTTTAATGGCCGTGTTTCTTCATAAGGTTCACATATTGTTGATTTGATACTAGACCGGTTCTTGAAAATTCGACATGTATTCTGTCTCTTGGTTGACAACAGTTCTCTTGTTACTCCTTTTAGAAACATAGGTCACGATTTTTGGCATTTGATCCAGTTTCAGGGCCACAATATAGTTTTGTACAAAGAAAGAAAGGTTAAATTTATACGTTTAGATAACCAAAATATGTTAAAATTTGTATTTGTAATACAAATGTGTAATAGAAGCACGAGGAATGCTTAATTTATTATTTATTAGTAATGTGGAATCTATGTATGTTAGTTATGCTAATTTTAGAACTTAGAAGGGAAATATTATCTGAATTCCATTTTTAATGGTTATGAATAGCGAAAGAAGTTTGATTAATGCATATTTTCACTTCTGATTCCTTTTACCCAGTAACGTTAGGAGTAGTGTAATGATAGATAAAGGTAGTGGTGTATATCTTGAAATATTTATTGAGTTTTATTTGGTTGGAGGTGGATACAAATTGCTGGAAGGATAATATATTTTTATTTGCTGGTCAAATGATACATAGTGCTTCCTCCGGCCCTTTTACCTCTTGGGTTTCGAGTACTGTCTTATTTATTTATATATTATAATTGAGGGAGTCTCTTGTTATTTTGTATTTTTACTGGTTCAAACCTAATAGTGGATTCTGCATATGATGTTCTTGTCTTCATTTTTTGATTGAACTATTTGATAAAAGCATTTTGTTTGTCATGTTTTCCTTTCAACTTATAAATCAATATTTTCTGTGACAGCTATACAGAGTCAGATCCTGTAAGAATTGCAGTGGAAGGTGTTGAAACATTCAAGAAAGAAAATTGTGATCTCATAATTGTTGACACCAGTGGGCGCCACAAACAAGAAGCAGCTCTTTTTGAAGAGATGCGCCAAGTTTCTGAAGCAATAGTATGTTTTAGTGTGCCCTTCCCATCTTAAGCGTTGAGTTTCGACTTAAATTTACTAATGTCTTCATTCTAATGTTTCAGAAACCAGATCTTGTTATATTTGTAATGGATAGTAGTATTGGTCAAGCTGCTTTTGATCAAGCTCAAGCATTCAAGCAGAGTGTGGCAGTTGGAGCTGTGATCGTTACTAAAATGGATGGTCATGCCAAGGGAGGTGGTGCTCTTAGTGCGTAAGTTCCAATGCATTGATGTGGAGATTCTCTAGTTGTTTGGAAGCATTTTTTAAATGGTAGCTTTTGAATTGCATGTAGATTCCATCTAATGTTTCCAGTTTATATCAAGTGTGCATGAATACAAATTATAGTGATATACTTTTTTGAAAAGATATCCCCGTTCTTCTGCATCATTTGCAGAGTTGCAGCAACAAAAAGTCCAGTCATATTTATTGGTACAGGAGAACATATGGATGAGTTTGAAGTGTTTGATGTCAAACCATTTGTGAGCCGACTTTTAGGTTTGCATCCCTTTTCATTGTTTCATTAACTTTATTTCAGTTGTAAATTTTACGACCTAGAATAATCTGTGTGCTGATAGATTTTTTTTGTTTAGTCTGGGTAATAATGTATAATGTTACAATTTTTATTAATGTTACAATTTTTATTAGGTATGGGTGACTGGTCTGGGTTCATGGACAAAATTCAGGAAGTTGTTCCGATGGACCAACAGCCTGAGCTTCTCCAGAAGCTTTCAGAAGGAAATTTTACTTTGAGAATTATGTACGAGCAATTTCAGAATATACTTAAAATGGGTCCCATTGGGCAGGTCCGTCAGTTGCCTATGTTACTCCCTAATTTTTAAATACGTGCTGCACTGCATTTTTGTTGTTAGTTTATTCTTTTGGAATCATTGCCGTTCAGTATACGCCACT